AGGTCAAACATTTGTTCTCAGTTAGCGACCACTGATTGCTCCAACTTTTCCATTTTATCGACCCTCTATTGTTTGAGGCTTAGCAATGAATTGGCCTACATTTTTCAGAGATTATTTTTAGCTTAATCACTGACATGGTGAGCACCAGTTGGCCTGATTGAAACTAGCGGAGCTGGCCAAACATGTCTTGTTAGTCACTCCTACTGTATACATACAGTTGTGTTCAGAGGTGGCTTTTGAAAACAAATTACCTGAACTTGTTCTGCTTGTGTGTTAATGTAGTCTGAATGCTCTGGGTGTGGAGACAGTAGATGTGATATTGGTGGCCAAAAGTGAATGTCTAACTGAGTCAGCGCTTTAATTAACAGGTGACTTGTCTAGGCTGCTTACCCACCCTGTGCCTAGTGCATGCTTGGATAAGGTTTGTCCCTTAGTGATATTAGTGTGTAAAAGGCTTAAGCAGACAGAGACAGTGCATGAATGTAGCAGCGTACTGTACCCACCATTATAGCTTGAAAAGGCAGTATTGTATTTGGCTAAACTCGGGGTTGTTGACCCTTACAAGTCCAGAACACACGTGTTTTTTAACCCTACATTAAGCAAACAGGAACAGAATAACCAAATTGGATCTGGTGTTAATTAGCTCTCTGCACGTTTCAACACGGAAAGACATTAGCACACTTCCTCTTTGCCCATCAGTTGGGAGAATCACAATATGTTATAATCACGGGTTTTATTTGTGTTAGGTGCCTGAGCGATGCACCTCGAGGCCGTGCACTTTTTTCAGCAGAGGTTCTGTAATGGATATGCTCACATTGCTTGTTGGCCTAATCCCACACTGCAGGCATATTTGACAATGACGCCGGGACCCTCGATACCATATCCACACTCCACAGTGGGTCTGTGTTCACCGCGGCCCATCCGCAATGTTTTTGAACTGACATATTGGGGAGGAAAGCCCGTCTTGATATCTGAGTAGGCAGCCCATAATTATCGCACACCTGTGTTTGTTGATTGTGAGGAGTTTCCCAGCGGTCCGGGCCCGAGTGGGAGGATTGTGGTTCCAAGCACAGGGAGGTTTATCTTGGCCTTGAGACACACGTGAGGTGCAGCCCCGGCCCCACGGCAGCGGCATGCTGTGGCTGCTGATCAGACTGAGCATGGCGCGCAGCCTGGGAATCGGACCCAGCAAGGCCTTTCATGACTGGGCTCCTGAGCCACGAGCTAGGCGGTTTAGAATAGCGTTCAACAGCTGCGGTTTTTCAAACGCCAATACCAACACTTTTTTTTTTTTTTTGGATTGAACTGATTTTTCATGCTGGAATTCAAGGGATACAACAAATCTCCATTTAAATCCAGGAAGAAATATCAGTAATTGTATGAGTGTGAATATATTTATGCAAATATACTTTGAAGTTCAAATCTGAGTGTTACATTTACGTCGATTCAGATAAAGGGTTAAAAGAAAAAAGATCAGAACAATTGCACCATGATGGAGGTGGGCGAGTGGAAAGACCAATATATTGATGTGAGCATAGTTCAGAATACACCCACAACATTTCAAAGATTAATGTGGCAAAAGCAGACAGAATACACTCCCTGATAGTTGTTTCAGCCTGATGCTGGTTTCCTAAAGGACATTGTCACAAGCCCTATAACACAGTGGATATGTCTCATTAGCATGTATGAACTGTTGGGTTGCCCTGCGACATGGCTTTGCAATTTCCCAACTGCTTGTCGTTGCATTTCTGAACAAAGGCCAGATTTGTGCAAATGCCACTTTATTTCGCTCAGAGTGAAGGCATAAATCCCATTACTTCCAGTTGAAAAAGCAGAGATGTTAAACAAATAGGAGCCCAAAAAGCAGCCTGAAATGGTTTATATTATTCAGCAGCCGGCTATTTCTTATGTTCACTTTGCAAAGAATAATGTTTATCCTCTGAATGATAAATTGTATTCTCACTTGTGTGAAAAAAAAAAAAAGTTCAAACGATTTAAGCCCCTGCGTTTGTGTGTAGCCTCTGGATTAGTCTGCTCAAATTAGCCTTTTCTGTGATGTCCACAAAGAAGAAGGTAGAGCACATTAGAAAGTTAGTGGCTATTTCTTTTCCATTTGTCATATTGTTTGATAGCGCTTGAGCTTCTACCACAGTCCGACTTTGTATACCTGTCTCCCTGAGTTATGTTGAGTTATGTGTAATTAACTCAGAAGATTTTCATAAATCCTGCTCTTTTTATATAAATTGTCTCATTGAATTTGCTCGGCCTAAGCTTCCTCCGCTCTCATTCCAGCTGGTATTCCTTGGAGTCGAAGCCGGGGAATAAGAAGAAAGAACGAGGCCGCATCCAAGTCAGCATCCAGTTTATGAGGAACAACATGACGGCCAGCATGTTCGACCTCTCCATGAAGGAAAAGCCCCGCTCGCCTTTTTCCAAACTTAAGGACAAAATGAAGGGTCGCAAGCACGACAGCGGCTTTTGTGACACCTCTTCGGCCATCCTGCCTCGCTCTGCCGTGTGCGACTCAGAGCCTAACCGCCAGTCCTTCGCCCCTGAACCACAACCCCAGCCTGAAGCGAAGGCTAAGAGATCCCTGCTCGCTGGGACCCATAAACTCTCTGCAGCCCATTCCATGTCAGATCTCATTGGGACCCACTTTCGACCCAAACTAGACTCCATGAACTCCATAGAAGAGAGTGGTGAGCCCCAAAGCTTCTATTTGTTCAGATTTTTTATTTTATTTTTATTTTTTTACAGCAGTTTGTTTCAATATTTGTTATATTTGACAAAGGGGGGCTTCTTGGCACACGTCTGCAGGGACTTGATAGGGTTTTTGTAATAACACCAAAAATGTGAAGTTACTGGTGAGCAGTGAGTCATTGCTACCTTCTCATATTTTCATTTTCAAGGATGGAGGACGGTGGTAAAGGTCTGGTCTCTCAAAACTTTCAGCTATTTATGAAGGATAAAAGGCTTCATTCTCGAGCACTACAACGACAGTATTACAGTAACACAGTTTTAATATTTTGCATTGTGGTTTGGTGTCTCTTTACACAATGTTTTAATTGTCTATTTGGTCTCAATTATTATCTTATTCCTCTGGACTTGCTCTTAACATGGTGCTGCAGTTTCTAGTGACCATCAGTAGAGGTCGATAGAAGACACAAAGCTATATGGATATGTATTTAAAGATATTTACAATATAAGATATATTAACCAAATTAGATGGCTATTAAGGTAATTCATATTCATCTGTGACCTTTATTGAGCTCTGTTGCTAACCAGTATTAAACTAGCCAGAACCTTCCAGCTCCACCAGCCTCCCATTTGCCCCCTCTGTCCTTGAGTTACTGTATCTGCAATTAACGCAAACAACAGTACAGACTTTCACAACAACAACAACAACAACAACAGTATAGATATTCAACAGAAATGGCTCATAAAATATAACACTTAATGAGGATAATGATAAAAAAAACGCTGCCTAAGTATGAAGTTTTTTAGATTTTCTGGGCTAAAAATGACAACAACTGCTAACTTATACTGCCCTGAATCAGGTAAGTCATGTTATGTCTTTAATAAATCTCAAAAATCTTTATCTGGTCATGTAAGTTTTCAAGGTGAGGCTTTGTTTAGTGATCATGTAAGTTCCTACATGTGCAATATTACTATATATTACTGAAGCAGTAAAATTCATTACTTTTGCCAAGGGAGGCTACAAGCGATAAACCAACTATCAGAATTCACTGATATTCATTACCTACGACTTTACAGTTAGTCTCTAATTGTACAAATAATCATAAAAGGCAAATAAGAAAGTATCATTCATATTCACTGTCCGACCTCCACTGCACAGGCGGTCTCTGATTATTCAGATTGGCATGCAGGGGAGGGGAACCTATCCAAAGCTCTGAAGGTAGGAGGGACGCAGTTGTAGATTTGTAGGGTATAAATAATATAACGAGCTGTCCTCACTGCTCCTGATAATTTTATTAGTTGGAAGAGTCACAAGACCAACTTGGGAAATAACACGAGTAAACAGGTTTCTGTGTCTGTGTAAAACCATAAAAAGAAAACAATCGACCTCTTCTAATGACACAGTGATCAGTACTGGCCATTAATAAGCCTGATTATATCTTACAGATAACACACAAATTAAAACACAACCCGTGAAGTGTGATTAGTTATTTGTGTCGATTTTAAATCAGAACTACGTAATAAGTTGTGGTTTTGGTTTCTCTTCAGGCGGCCCTCACAGACGTTCCCAGAGCGAGGTGCCAGGCTACGAGGACGGCGAGGCACACAGTGACCCTTTCACTGATATCAGTGACACCCTGCCACAGAAGTATGCCACGCTCCCACGCAACCGCAACCCGTTTGAGGGGGAGCACGGGCAGCTGTGGGACCGGGCAGAGCGGAAGGAGAAAAAGGAGAAGGTCAGCCTACTGGAACGCGTGACGGGAAAGAAGGAAGGCCGCAAGACCAGCAACGGGGCGCGCTCGGGCAGCTCTGGAGACCTACGTTCCCCCAACCCCTTTAGTGGAGACTCGCAAGCAGACACAAACCCGTTCAGCTCCAACTACAAAGCCAGGTAGTCCCTTGTTTGCTCCGTATGGTTCATGAGAATGAAAACACAGCACACAACTCTCCTCCTGTACTTTATCCATCTCACAAATACCTTCATTAGAGTGGTGTGTGCAGTTGTTTCTAGTTTCCTTAGAAACAGTCCATCAATCAGACATAATTTTCAATGTGCTTTTTTACAAAAAACTATTATTACTCTTAGTGGATGCAGACATTTACAAGAGAAATATAAATTGCTATAAATAGAAAACCATCAGTGGGTGAAAATAATATAACATTTTCAATACAAAGGAACATATTCTGTCCACTTTCAACCACTGCATAATTAAATCTCTTCTATCTCTTAATATTAATGAATAATCCTAACTAATTTTAAAGTAATTCTCCAGTAGACCTCGACACATTATCCCCCAACAGAATTTCCAATTCTCAAATACGTCTGTTCTTTTATGAACAAAAATAATCCAGACGTTACAAAAATGGCTTCAAGTCCAATTCCTCTTTTATCCCACTTGGGATTTTTATAAATCCAGAATACTTCCTTCTGTAAATGTCCCTCTCTCTGGTTAACAGCAATGTACCACAAATGCTGACGTATATTTAAAGTTATTTTTATTTGTACATTTCACATCTACCAGTATTTTTAGACAAGCCGCTGCAAGGTTTTGGTTTGATATAGATACAGATACAGATACAGATACAGATATAGATATAGATATAGATATAGATATAGATATAGATACAGATATATACTCACACAACACTTTAGCCAAATTTAGCCTCCGTCCACGTTGCTAAAATCTGCCCCGGTACATCAGTGGTTCTTACACATTTGTAGCATATCACTACTGAATGTTTTTCCTCATATTCCATAAATCATCTCATAATCCCAAAACATGATCTCGCTACCTCGTGGGTCAACCTCTGTACTACAGGATATTGGTTACAACATTCCCGTAAAGTTTTGAATACCAAGTTGATTGAAATCTACTATGTGATAGACCCTCCTTCTCTTCTTCATTCTGTTGTCGTGTATTGTTGTTCAAACATTTCCACCGAGCTCAGTTCAATTTATTTCCTGTGTTACATAAAGAGTTGGTGAGCACTGTGGCTAAGTTCTGGTTTATCGGAGAGGAAGGTGTCATTAGTGGCTCTTTAGAGAGCCTGGGTTTGATAACAGAGCCCTCTGAGCTATAGTAATGAGATCCTCTGCAGAGATAGACCACCCAATTAACCACTTATCTCTATAGGCACTAGTCCATCATCTTTACTGCTGCCTTTGTCATACAGTAGCTCAATGGTCATTTATAATGTGGCGCTGGAATACAAAAAGATGGTTTAAAGTATATTATTTATAGATAAACTTATTCACAGCTGCAGCAAAAACATTCCATGATGCATATTTTATTCCTCGATAAACTATGTCAGTCACCATAAATATTAAAATGTGCTTTATTAGCACAGGGGATAGACTCCTCAGAGCCTCTGTATCAGTAGAACGGTGATAACTGCACTCAAAATATTCACTGTAATGTCTTTATGTCAATACCGACTTCCTCTCTGATTGCTTCGCAGTGATAAAAAGTCAACAAGAAATGAAGACATCACCTTTGGCCAGAAGAAGAAGGACATCTACGGGAAGAAAAAGGTAAGACTGCGAAACCCTCCCTTGTGAAAGCAAATCATTTGTCAGGTGATACTGTTGCATGTTGACACTTTTATGTGACAATGATTGAGGGAGAAAGAAGAGGAGAAAATAACCCCAGCAGTTGCAACCGTGTCATTACTTCCTGTGTGGTGTCACGCAGATTTTTAATTGAGAATTTCCAAGTTTCATTTGACATGGCAGCTGGTGACATTGATCTCCGAGGTCGTTGAAAATTCAGATGTGCCATTCAACTAATAAGCAGCTGCACACATCGGTCATCATGTCTGATCTGGTCATAATTTGAAGTGGTGTGAAATTTCGGTCTCTGAGGTCAGTCAAAGTGGCGTGTCGCACTGATTCGGTAATTGGGTTTTTTTTGTTGTTGTTGTTGAGAAAAGGCATAGAAATATCATTTGTTTTTTCTCCTTAATAATTATTACATTATTTGTACGTGACGTTTTTACCCTTTTGTAGTTTGTGTTCAAGTTTAAGTTCCGTTTTGCGTTTTCAACATTGAAAAAAAAACAAAAAAAACTTGAAATTTGTCGACTATTACAAAGCAAAATTGGTATTTATGAGGGAGCAGTGGGAGCAGTAGCTAAAGTGATGCCTAAATGAGAAGGAGAATGCTGATAATGGCTTTCCTCACCTTTCTTTGTGGGTGTTGAGGGCTGTCGGTATCCACACATGTGCCCCCGTACATGCCGCAGTGCCTCGCAGAAATGGCAGCTCCCATTTCCTCCGCTTCAAGGCCCTAATTAACCACACACGGGGGGAGGGAGGGAGGGAGGGAGGGGAGGGCAGTGAGAGATTTCAAAGGACTGAGCTTTTAGATTCTCAAAGCTGAGCTCATTAGAAACTGTAATGACACAACTGGAGAATGCCAAGTGTGCGCCTTATCTTCTCCTCACTACTGATCGCAGAAAAATGGTCATCATTACTTTGCCAGTTCATGGTCATTTCCAGGCCTTTGTCACCAGCCACTAAAGCTCCTGATTATTATGCTGTGTGAGTGTGTGTCTGTGTGTGTGTCTGTGTGTGTGTGTGAGAGAGAGTATATGCACATACACACGCCTGTATGTGAAACCAACATCCACTTCCATATGGCAGTCAGTTCTCTCATTCCCTCTCAAATGGCTTAAGTGCAGTATCTTTCAGTCAGATGCCTTTTTTTTCTTTTTTTTTAGTGTTGTGTGCGAGGAATAGGTTACTGAGCTCTGTTCTTGAAACCCTCCTTACATTGGACATTTAATCTCGGTGGCAAATATTTCATTTTGGTTTGTGTCGCCCCACAGTAGCCTCGGTGCTGTTAGAAGCGATAAGATACCTGGTAAGCAGTCCCGCTCCAGGTCTTTCTGCATTGTCTTTCCCCAGCAGTAGAGGCTTGAATGGTGCATGGGAGTGGAAGCTGATAAGTGTGGTATTTTAAACAGGGTGAAGGCTTTGCTGCTCTATCCGTTCGGGGGAGGATGCCCAGCACCGAAGCGATAAAGTGGTCCCTCATTAAAAACGATTACAGCTCCTCTCGTACCCGCGCAATATGATCTGCACATACCGTACCACACTGCTCCGTCCAAATAGGTTGTCCTCAAAGAGCAAAGCTGGGCTTGGGTTGCATTCTTATTTTAGTATTTATTAGCCTGACTTTAATTGCAGAAATATGCAGCCTGGCATCTCCCCTCAAAACAAAGATGGGATATCTTCATTATGAATGCTTGTTAGAGTTTTTTGCCTGAAGTCTCTCTAGTTACAGAGATTATTCTTTTAGTTGCTTGAAACTGAAGAAAAAGGAAAACAACTTCATCAAGATGTTAACTGCCTGCTATAGTATAAAAGCCCCATTAGAGCAGTTAAGCTGCTCTTGATTAGTTATAAACACTGTTAGACAATGTTAGATCATAACATCTGCCGTAGAATTCAATGACATGTCAGTGCTAAATCCCTTGAGAAGTATCATCTTAACAACTCTCAATTAGCCTTTATTAGCAACAGAGAACAAGAGATAAACACATGACAGTTTATGTCACTTTAGGCCAACACATCTAATTAGTCGATTTTCTCTGTCGCATTGTGAGTGAACTTAAAGGGTATCTTTACTCTTGCCTCTCTTATCAGATGCTGACATTTCATGGAAGATCACTCACCCATTTTAGTCTACTTTTACAAGAACAAAAATCTGTGCAAAATACACTGATTATGGAGCCTCAGAATTGACTTGTTTTCCATTTTCAGGAGGTGACGCAGGAAAGCATCGCCGCCTATAGCAACTTATCCTTTGAGGAAGTTGTGCAGGAACTCATCAAGCAGAAAGAAGTGGTGAGAAAGAAGGACGCCCACATCAGGGAGCTGGAAGACTACATCGATAACCTGCTTGTGCGCGTCATGGAGGAGACGCCGAGTATTCTACGGACACCCTATGAGCCCAAAAAGAAGGCGGGTAAACTTAGTAAAAAGTAGAAGGAAAAGACACAGGAAGTTACTAATGAAGGTTTAGCAGTAGCTCATGTATCGGTTTCATGGTAAAATAAGTGGGAACAAATGGGATTGATCAAAGCCAAATTTATGATTGAGTTATGTCTTTGCTTTAGAACATTTGTGTGCAGTGGATGTAGTTTTTATAGACTTTTTTTCCCCCCCTAATGTTTTGTTTATTTTATTTTAGGTTTGTTTGGTAGAAATATAATTCCAATATTTCAAAATTCAGAATTACTTTATGAATACTTGGTGCAACTTTAGGTACTTAAACAGGATAAGAGAAATTCATGAGTCGATTCAAATCAAACGAAATCCATATTTTTTTGTCAAATATTAGGTTTAGCTATGTTGTATGCACTTGTGAACCCACAGAAGTTTGTTGCACACGCAGCTGCCACCATCTGCCCAGAAGCTCTTAAGGTGCAAATGCAGCCAAATTTATGTTTACCAGATGCTGTAGTCGCAGTCGTGTGCTGTTTGCTGAACAATGGTCAAGTGGTTAATGAGATGAGGCTGTAGTTACTGTGTTTACACTCAAGCGCGAGTCTTAAACTTGACACCTAAAACTACGAGAACACATTTACAGAGGCTTTGTCCCGAGCTTCTTACACGTTACAGATGTGGATGAACTCTGCTCTCCTACCTAATAGCTTCTGTGATTCATGGGTATTGTTTGAAAGACTGGAGGAGAGTTACGGTAAGAAGCTGCTTGACAGTATCTGGGAGTCTGGTTTCTCTCTAGCTTACTGAGTCATGCATTTGAAAAAGTAAAAAAAAACGAACAAAGTACATTCCTATTATTGGTTACTGACTTTCCATTCTTTATTTTATTTGTGATGACTATCAGTTAAGTTTCTTGGGCGGGGGAAAGGTGATAATTTTACTGACTTTTAAGTGCAATAATCATAACTTGGGTATCTTGCTTTATATTCTGCTGGTTTACATTTTAATCACATCTTAATGTTGATTTTGATTCAGTGGAAAAGCTTCTTTGTTACAGCCTCCACAGATTGCCCAGCCTTCATCTCCCTCAAATACAGTTTATGCTGAAGATTGTATTAATGGTACCGTTGCTGCACATGTGGTTATATGCTGAACAATCTTTATTTATCAAAAGTTAATTTACATATGAACTTTATTTTAATGTATTTTTAAGGTACTTTATGGTAAAAGAAACGCTACTGTATCCCAAAACCTGTTCCCTCACCACCTGCTCTACTGTAAAAACACAAATCTGAAAAAAAACTGGCTCATTTGAGTAAATATTCACGTGTTTAAGTCTTACTGATACAATGTTTATATGTAATTCCCATTAGCATCAATATTTGTTTACCTTTTAAATGAAATACTAGTCACAAATTAATTGTGCCTCAATATATTTCAGCTATTTTTTCTTTTTGTATTATCAAAACAGTCCAGATTCTCACATTCATATAAGATATAAGTGTGTCTTACCAGTTCACTGAGTACTAATGAGAACCGGTTCCTAATTGTTCATGGTAAACAGCCAATGATTGTCATTCAGGTCACAAGTAACTGTTTGACACCCTATGTCAGAAGCTAACCGTCCTCATTTCACAGTTTTATGTCATCTCATATGTCGCCTCAATCTGTGACGCTAATGTCATAACAACATATGTTGTTTCCGTGTTAAACAGCACTCTTTAATTCTGTTTATCACTTTCTACTGAACAAACGCTGAATGAGCTACGGGGCAGCTGTTAGATTGCACTGCTGGTACTGAAACAAACTAAATGACTACTTAAAGTTTTAAGTCTCAGAAAGAGTTTTTATCACCTATTACCTGTGCTTGTGCTAGATGTTCAACGATAGTACGATCACTTACTAATGTTTAGGTTTACATTTTTAATTGTTTTTTGCTATTTAATGGAAGCCGCTTCATGTACAGTGTTAAATATGCTTTGTATTATAGTTTACTCAAGGTTGCACACGTCACATCATTCTTAATGATGTATCAAACCTCTTTTGTCAGATGCTGATCCATCTTGTCCTTTCGCTGGTATTATTTCTGGTATTTATGTCTTCTTTTGTAATTGCGTCTTCAAAATATTTGACCTTTACACTGTATGATACCAAATCACAGCTGAGACAAAGTGCTACACTTTATCTATGGAATGTCAACAGTCAAAAAACACTTGTCAGTTTTCATTTTTCATGAATGTTACACCACTCAGAAACACATTTTTTGTCATGTACTAATTATTTCTGCTGCTGTGAGAGTAGTTATTTCATCTGAAGGTTTGTGATCTCTTTTGGAACTTGAAGCCAAAATCTTTTTGTTACTGAATGTATTCTGGTTGGCTTTGAAACACACAATTCTGAAATGTATAATAATATACAGTACACTAACAAGGCCATTGAACCTTTTCTTGCCTTTAAAGTATTTGGTGTATCCAAAGAGATCATTTCATATGGGTGATTCTTCTCCCCTTCTTTCTGTCTATTGGTCTGACAAAACTCAGACATCTTCATTATGGTTGTGAGATGATGTGACACAGATGCTGGGTAAATTCATTTTGTATTGGGGGGGGGAGTTATCTGATTTGCATATATTTTGTAAAGCCAAAAATGTTGGAATCGGTGCATGAAATGATGAGTGTTATGTGATGCTAATTAAGAAGATATGTGGATAAGAATCTGTTTTCCATTATGGAAAAGCTTCTCACTGATTGCCTTCCTACATGTGCTGAAGTGTAAACTCTCTGTCTCCTCATTTTACAGGCTTTACCAACAGCTTTAACTAGTCTGTGTCGGTAGTTAGCCGGTTGTACATGGACCTTGCCGAGCTCTTAATACTTCCATTGTACATACTGTATAGTCACTTTGTAATATCACTTCACCTCCTTTGGTATTTTGCACATTTTGTTGTGCTGTAAAATGTCTGAAAATGTGCTTCCTGGGGATTTATTCTGTCTGAAGTTCAGTCAAAATACAACTAAAGTTAAATGGAATTTCAAAAGTGGGAATAAACGTGTAAAACTGAAGGAAAAAAGTATTCCCCACCCATCTTTCATTTGAGCTAAACTGACATTGGCAAACTGTGATTTAATTGTGATACTCAGGCATTTTAATAGGTTTTCTTTCTCGGGCCTTTTTGTAGCTACAGATAATTTCTCGTTGCCAGCAAAGCAAATGCGAGGATTTCTTCCGGTGGTATTCTAGTGAATGTCATATTGTGCATTGTAGAGAGAGTAATGCTCATACAGAGTATGGAACAGGTGATTTACACTTAGGTCTACAATGTACCCTGAAGCCTCATTGCTTTGCTCGAATGATGAAATGACAAGAGATAAGCCCTTAAAAACATGTTGAACACATTTGGACCCTGAGGTTATTTAGTTCAAATGAAAAATGAGGGGTGAGTAGTTCAAATTAATTAATTTTGCCTGTCATTTTTCTTTTAGCTTGATTGCTACATTTGCTTTGTGCTTCAACGTAATTTGGTGCTTTGGTAGATGTCAGACTAAACCACAAATCTAACTGAAAAGCATTTTCAAATCATTTTCTAGCACAACAGTGTAAAGGGGTACATAGCAACACACACACACACACACACAAAAAAAGCCCTCGTCATTATTATACTTCTTCCTTGCCACTTTGCATAATATTTGTCATCCAATTAATGCCAGTGTTTGAATATGCAAAGCACTTAAAATGCTCAGAGGCAGAATTTCCTATAAAATTTGGCCATGGCCTGTGTGTCTTAATTTAAGTCTATATAGATTGTTTTGCACATGCATTAAAGTGTTGTAAGTGTTGTAGGTGAATGTCCGCCCCATTCCAAAAAAAATAGTGCAAACATATGGGGATTTTTGTTTTTTTCCTCTTCTCCTCCATGTTGACGAAGCATGCATTGAACCTTTTGATGAAGATGACATAAAGCTCGAGTCGGATCTCACAATCCTCCTCTGGCAGTCTTCTAAGTCTTCTACTGATAATGTGATGCTTCTTGCCATAGGCCACATACAGCTGCCAGACACTAAGACTTAAGCTCCCGCTAAATCCCCTGACGGTGCTTGTAATGTGGCACACAGTTTTGAAGGAAATGATGACTGTGTTTATAAAAGATCTCGGCAGTTAGCAAAGCTTCATTGAGTTTACAGAATTGTGTGGAAGCTGGTGTACAGAGGCCAACACAATTAAACATAACACGAGTTGAGTTTAGTGCCCCAGATGACGTATTGATACCGCCGCGTTGGTCTGCTTCCCGATGTGTACTCGGTCTCACAGTTCATTCTGGCACACGCCTTTGTAATGTAACAATGGATTCTTGTCATTTCTGCATGTCGATCACACGTTTTTATTACGTAACACTTTATATTATTGCCAAATTATACGGCATTTTCCTGATCTACAAACTATCACTTCCTCTAGATTGGGTTCAATTTCATCCACCCTCATCACACGACTTTATTGTAATGTATTTAAATCAATCAGTTGTACGGAGTAAGTTGGGTTAAAAATGGCAGAGGAGTTTTGTTTTTCACATAATAGCCAATATGCAAGACTTTCATACCCGGATGCTTAGGGACAAGAATGTATGGATTTTTTTATTACTGTAGGTCTGGAAACACATTTGGGTGTAGAAGATGTATGTATTATAAAAACAGTATAATGCTGTTCAATGGTGACTATGTGTAAAGTGCCAACATAAGCACTGATTCAATTTGGTGATGCATTTCTTAATATTCACTCATTCTCCATGTACTACAGTTTCAAACATTAACTTTTAGATATTATCATCTCATCCATTATAATCAAATCCCAATGTTATATTGGATGTAGTTTGAAAGGCACAAGCAAGATTGTATTGTCCTTTTCAATAAACTCACTGTAAATGAAACCTGCTGTTGTATTGAGGGTTTTTTTGGGGGCAGAAAACGTATCCTTACATTTAGCAGCAGATCTTGTTAATCCAGCACTGCAGTGTAAATCTGATGCAAATCTTCCATAAAGTGGATTTCTATTCAGCTGTTCCTTGCACTCAACACCTGTCCTATCATTCTTATGGATAAATTAAAAAGCCACTCTCAATTAACTCTGATCTCGCTGGCAGTTAAACCACGATTAGTGTCTTTAATTGTGCTTATTTGTGTCAAGCTTTTGTTTTCTCCTCGCTGAAAGCAGCTCTTCCTTTTGTTCTGGAGAAATTCCCATGCCTTGCTGGCAAAAGAGAGAAGTGGCACCGTTTGACAACGGAGTAGCACGATTGCTTGTTAAAACTCCACTCTAATTTGCCTATGTGTGCAACAAGACTGTGTGAAATCTTTTGGGACAAGAAACACTTGTGTTGTTTACCGGCTGACGCTTTTGTGGGTCCCGTTTGCTTCCCCGTCACCCCCCGCCACACAGCAGGTTAAAACATGACCTCTCCCCTGTCACCTCAGTGTAGTAGTCCCTGAAGAGGTGCACCTCAACACCGCAGCAGCTGCCACCGCACAGCACAGCGCCGCCTTTACAGCTGACAATGATGAGCTGCATAGCAGTGGTAACCAGGGACACCAGGAAAATACTACTTACAACATCACTCCGATAATGAAACAATCTTTTTGATCAGGTGACAGTGTAATAGTGACAGAACCACCTGCTTTATATGAGGTTAAATGTAAGTGTGAGTCACATTTAGATGCAACCGTGCTCGTTAAAGTTACAGAATTGGCAGCATGCGTCCTGATTAATTTTTTATCTTCCTGTGTTAACTTATAGTCTTGCCTTGGGAGACACTGAACACAAATACGTGTGTAATTGGGCTTTATGTAGGTGTCACCTGTTGTATTCATAAGCTAATTGGCATACTCATTGTCATCCTTACACATTCATCAACAGATTGAATTTCACAGATCCCAGCTTTTGTACGGCGGTGGCACGTGTCATCTGAGTGCCTCCTAGATTAAAGCCCATTAGTTCATTGTGCATTATATCATATTGCTGTAATTTGAGGAAATATCCAACAAACGTGTTATGTAAGATTCTGTGGGTGCAGGAGAAGCCCAAGCGTGCCAGGCAGGGCCACCCACAGGTCACCTGCACTCCCCTTTAAATATGGATGGGCGTCATAGCAGGGATCAGTGTCACCCCGCACGCGTCTGTGAATAGAAGTGCCTCAGGCAATCATGGAGAAACTTATATGAGGAGAAATTCGGCAGATGGATGAGGTGTTTTTAGGGGAAAAACCAGACCTATTTGGGCAGCTGGCCTGAACTTGTTGGATGATCGGGGGCCAGATGTCAAGGTTAACCCCTCAAACTCCCCAGGGTATCAGACCCCACCCGCTCCTCCAACGCGGGACTCTTTGTTGGATAGTTAACTAATCTGAATAGGTGCTTGAGATAAATCAGGTGTCAAACGTGCTGCAGATCCTTGTTGCGTTGTATTGATGGCATTGTCTTCCTCTGATAGCTGCCACGCGTCTGGTATCAGGTGAACAAAGCCAGATGACAACCAGAGAGAATCTGTCAACATCTAACAGCAAAACAAAGGCGAAGGATGCCGACCAGAACTCAGATAGACACAAAAACGGATGTACGCTCAATAAATACACGAGGTTTATCTTGTACATTAAAAGATTTTTTTTTATTATCCTTACGAAGAATAAATGTACTCCAATCCTGCTGTCTTTTATTGCTCTTTATTACTCAGATAATAAAAGGTCAGCTGTCAAGAAATTGAACATGATAATATTAATATGTATAATTAATTGATTCAGTTACCAGGGGCTGATCTAATCGGCTCTATGGAGTCACCAGTTGGAATCAATGTTTCTGTATCGATCGATATATTGTTGGACTGGAGCTAATGAGCTAACTGTGCTCTCAAGTTAAACATGAATTAACTAAAGTGTATTGGTTACTTTAACAGTGTTTAATGGCATTCACACTAAATAATTTAACATTTTATAGCGAACACAAGTTCAGTAAATGTGAATTGTTCATGTTGTCTCCATGTTTTAATGGATGGAGGTCATAGAAACTTTGTGTTAAAAAGAAAGGAAAACAAATAATAACTTAACAGTAATTAATGGATTTATATTTATTTAGGTAGATTTTTTTGAGTTGGTTAATTTGGTATAAATTAGGTAATATTGTTTCTAGCTGGCTAGAAACAATATTATATTATATATATATTATATATATTATTATTATATTATATATTATATTATTTTGCTACCATTGGCAAAATTAATGTTTATTTTACAGTTTTCATAATACTAGAGCTGACTTGTTCCTTCTTATTCATTCTGGAAATTTAAAGACTAGTTTCCCAGTCATGGAAACACCTGGAAATTGGTTAAAAATGAGCAAATATCCTGGAAATAATCTATGTTGTCCTGAAAAATGTTTGTATTTCAACCAAATTAATTGTCTGTAAAACAAAACAAATTCTACTTTGGCTGTGGGCAAATTATTGTAGTCAATTTGCTTGAAACCACAGCTTTTATGACCATTTGTAAGTGCTGTCCTGTATTGTCACAGAAAACTCCTGGAAAAGGATTTGTTAAAAAGAGTGCTTATGTTCTGTCACTGTTTTATTTAATGGTGGTCCCCACAGCAGCACAGCTTTATGTTAAGAAGAAGGAGACTAACTAACAGTAACTTTAACAGTGGTTATAACACACTCACTTTTAGTTTAGTAGATTTTAGCTATTATGTTTAGCTTCACTCAAGAAACATGATAGAATAGAGATTATTATCTAGTAAGTCAGATTTCACCCTGTGACCCTCTTTGGGACTTGGATATTTTGTGCTCTTTGCAGGCCTGGTTGTTTTTGGGGAACAGGTCGAGCTCGTAGGACCAGAGTGTTTCTTCAGTAAGCTGGTGAGCGACTGGTCTCATTATCACTGTCTGAGCAGCACGTGCCTGGGACTTATCACCTAAAAGCTAGGAAACATGAGCTGTCAGCAGACCACGGGTTTGCATTTGGTCATTTTTAGCCTGTAATTGGCACCACAAAGAAGTTGTAGAGGGATCACAAGAGTGCAAGCAGAAACTCGAGCTGATTATCTTATTTTGGTATTATCAACAGTGAAGAATTACATATAATCATGATCAAGCAGGAGATTGCAATTACACAGTAAAAGCTATGTTGTGGTGAGACACTGTTAATAGTGGTTCAGGATTGAGCTGTATGTACATATTTCTTCTGTGTGGAAGAAAGTTAAATATCCCCTAATCTAAAGAAACATCGGTCAGTCTGTGTATTGTTATTTCTGTGGGTTATTGTATTATGGGAAGTTCACTTTTTTAACAATGATTTGTGATCATCACAGCAGGATAACCCAGCAGCAGGCAGGCCGCTCACTGCTTACATCAGGCGCAGTTGTAGTTTGCAGTGGATAGATCACATTAGAACTTCACTGCAATAGCTCAGTAAAGCCATGCTAAAACTAGAGTAATACAATCAATCAATCAGTCATCTCCTGACTTCACAGCACAGGAGAGCTCTGCTGGAATGCTGCTAAGCTGCAGATGTACCAGCCAAATTACTCCAGAGGGGAATTACCAGGCCATAAATCCAGACGTCAGGAGGATGGCTGTAGCCTGTTTCACGGTAAAAAAAAATCCATGCAACTTGTTTCCATTACCTTCATAAAGAATGTCTCGCTGTGCAGGGCTTCAAACTTATCGCTGACGACAGATCTAAACATGTTTGCATCCAAACACGGCCTCAAATCACAGCGACTTTAAACAAAAACATCATGGGAATCTGCTGGAGCCGTTCACCGTGTCCTAACAGGTCCTGTAAAATGAATGATCTGTGACATGACAAACTGTTAGAGCTAACTAATAATCATCTCCTGCTCCTTCATAATCTTCTGTAAATCTGAGGCATGCAGCAGCCTGCAAGGTTTCACTTTTCTGTGGATATAATCTTAGTTATCGTTAAGTGATGGAACAGGCTCATTCAGTGTTACATGCATTTAAACACCAGTCATCATTACATGTTTGTTATCGGATCTAATGGTTTTAGTAAAAACACAGGATCCTTTCACCTATTTTATTTGTGCAATTCTCATGTAAGTAGAAGGCAAACAACAGACATACAGCCTAGTCAACACGACACAGTAACCACTGGCATCAGATCGTTGGCAGGTACCGGGCTTCATTATTGCTAATTAAGATGTATAAATATGCTGTCTGGCACTTGACTTGTCGTTTGCAATGGGCCATTTTTTCCATCAAACTCAAAAAGTGCCAAGGTAGACAAGGTGAGGGCATGGGTGCTGGTAGTGCTGCTGCAGTGTGTACTCTGTGGGCACATTGCAGCTCAGCTGGCATACATCTGACTGACGCCTTCGGGTGCCAGCAGCTAAACAAGCCCAGGTTTGAGGGGAGCGTGTTGTATATTTGGGCTGAGCTGAGCGAAGTCTGCCAATGTCTTTGAGTGTCTGGCTTCATGGGCTCTCATACAGAGCTCCTTGTGGAGCTGCGCTCTCTGGTCATCTTACAGATGATGGCAGTGGACAGTTTACAGTAGGAGGCACGGCCAGGAGGATGTGACATCACTGCACTGTACTCATAGAAAGTACTAACCTGTTATTGAAGTGAATCAGGATTCTGTCCACTTGTTGTTTTTGGGCTGAGTTAGACACTTCAGAGAATTTGTTTTGCCTTCAGTGTAGATGGATGTCACTGGTTACAGGTCACCTCAGTCTTTATAAAACCAAACATATATATATTAAAAAGGGCTCTGTCGGATTGGACTGTGCTAAGTTGCTTTGTATATTGGTAACACTAAATTGTACCTAGAGATAGCTGTGTGTAAGTTTCAGACAACAGAAATCAAGTAAATGATAGAAAAGCACACTAAAGTCTGCTGTCCTGACAGGTCTGTGAAGAGCAAGA